CAAACAACGTTGTTACGATAATTCGTAATGAATAGACTGACATAGGTTCAGTCTTTCGATCTTTCTGAAATATTTTTCTTAGAACCATTTTTTTTTCGCAGAAATAAAGATCAATGGCAATTACGTATGTATGTATCGAGCGTACGTATGTACCAGGTATTGCATGTTGTAGCTTTAAATTAAAATTTTATTAATCGGTAAATTATATCAATACCGGCCAAAGTATGCTCTCCAATTCGGAACAGCCCCATTTAGTGCTCAACATATAGTGTACATATTGAATGATCATTATTTGCATTAACGATTGTTGTTATCTTCAACATATACGTAGAAGTTCTGCACAAATCAGGAATTGTTTCTAATCCAGTAATCCGATTTGGATAAACTGAAGAGATCGAGCTGCGAACTGAATTCAAAAAGGAAATTAGTTTCCTTTTTGAGGTTCAGTTTTGGATGTGATTAGGTTTCAAATTTGCTACAGTACCACAAAAAACAAACAAACATACCCCTGGTTATCCCTAAAAGGAAAAAAAATAGAATTTGAATCCACGAGTTTGGTAGTTTTTTTTTTCTTCTAAGTGGTAACAAATTTGAAACCTAATCACATCCTAAACCGTTGTTATTCTTTTACTTATAATGAAAACCTCAAAATACAGGGTTTTGTTTACATCTAAATTGGACATACAAGGAAAAAATGTCGAGTTCTTTTTCATTGTTATTTGTATATTTGTATTTTGAGTAGAGATGTGCCAGTAATACGTAATACAAAGTTTGTTTACTGTATATAGTTAGAGATGTGCGAATGCAAGTTTGCATTACATAATGCAACATTATGTGGATCTCTCAAAGTCTAAATGTAATCCCTAAATGCTATCTCAACTTTGGCCCAAATATTGTTCTGACCCTATAAATAAATTTATTTTTATTGTTCTCTAAATATAATGCAATGCTATCATTGCATTTATGAAGATCTGACCGTATTTTGTATTTGGAACTTTTTTCTTTATTCATTAAAGTAATACGATTAGGTAAAGTAAAATAGCAATCTTTCGCCACACATTAATTCAGGTCATCAATTCTTCACTTTATATACATATTCACATAAATCGTTTTTTTTTATTAAAAAAAAATTCATATCAATTATCAATTCGAAATTCGAACAAAATATTATATTAAAAAATGGTTCTAAGAAAATTATTTCAAAGATATCGCAAGACTGAACCAACACCAATTTTTATATTTAGACTTTTCGTGTTAACACTACTTTTAATCGGTTTAATTGGATACACTTGGTTTGTGATTTTGGGCGTTTATAGTGATAATCCAGTCACTCAGAATTCCTTGATAGAGGAAAACTCTTTTCTTGTTCCTCGTAAGATATATTGGTTTGTTTTTTTTTAATGTTTATAAAATTCATGAATCATGTTATTAAAATCTTGATTTTACAGAGCTTACACTACTTATTATTGGCCTAGAAACGAATATTACTTGTAACTTTAAGAATGCTAGTAAGTATTTAATTATATTAGATATAAATGCAAGCAAAAATTTCATTTGAAATTAATCTTATATTAGATGGCATCCAAGATTGCACACAATATGTAACGCAACTACATAGTTATAAAAAGTCTAGTGCCGGTGAAGAATATGCGGGAAATTTTTCTGCTCCTGGATTATTATTTTCTAAAATGCCCAATAATGGAATAAGTTCAATGGAATTTAATATTTATTTTAAAGATCCTACCATTAATGCAAGTGATTATTATACTCTACCAATTTTCACAACTACGTTGTTAGATGCAGGTTAGTTGGCGTTATATTACCTCCAAATATGTTATTTGAAAGATAGTAGAATACAATAAATATGCTTCAATATATAACAACTATCTATCCATTTTTTTTAAATAGCTACTGCTGAAGATAACTATATTCAATCAGTATTCTCATCTCAAAAAGATTTACTTGGCTCAAATTCAAGATTACTGGACTCCTTTGATTTTCTGAATTCCTATAGAATGTCAGCATACAATGTAAATATTTATAAAGCTTGAGCTAATCGAGTTATTCCTTAAATTCCCTACTTGATTCACTGAATCTTAATAATCCTAGTATATAGATTTCACATTAATTTTTTTTTTTTCATTCAGTCTTATAAATTTAAATTAACAAGAAGAAGAAAAGACATTATGCTTCAAAGTTGGCAAAATTATATGGGATTTTCATCTAACCTTTTAAAAATATCATATTTTACATCGACAGTGGGTAAATATTTTACACAGTAATGTAATTTACGAATTATATTAAACTATGATAACATTTTATTTATAATATTTTATAAGAAGCATTTCCACTTCAAAACGACACACCAGCGTTGTTTCTACAAATGTCAATTGAACAACCAACATACACTGTTCAAGTTGAGACAGAAAAAAGGTATCGTATAATATACAGTAGTATATTAAGTGAGGTTTTAATTTAATAAAAAATTTACTTATTTCATATTTATTCTAATAAAAAAAAGAAACAAAACTGTAAGTATTTAAAATCTGTTTAACCTATTTTAGTATTTTTGATGATCTTAAAAATGGATAAAATTTAGGTTATATCTTCTATTGGCTTAATTGGAGGTGCATGGGGATTTGCCGCAACCATTTATGCATTGTTTTTTGGTAAGTTTTAGATTTAGAGCATTATATTAAATTTTTACTTGACTTAAATCTAAATATAATAATTATTAATTATTATTAACAAATTTATATTTTAGGCACCATTTCTATTAAACCATGGGGATATGTTCAGAAATATGGATTCGGAATAAATCGTTCAGTACAAACCGAATTGAAGGATAGTTTGGAATGTATTCCATTAGTCAATCGTCCAAAATCCACATCTTTAAATAGTTACGACCTGAAAAGAAGACTTGATTCATTGCAATTGTTTTTAACTGAATATGTTGTTGACGTACGATATTTTGAAGAGATTCATAAATCTAATGTAAATAAACATAAAGGTAATTATAATATTTAAATTGGTTTACAGTATTTTTTACAAAAATTTAGTACATTTGAATTTACATATTTTTTTGGTTTTTTTTTTTACTGGTAGACACAAATTAAAATTTTTTATCATAATATTTATTTATTTGAAGATACTTTAGAGTTACAATTTTATTTTTATTCTTTCATGTATTAAACTCTATAAACCAAATTTAATAAAATTTTTTTGCAAACACTAAAATCAAATGTTATGCACATATATTTAAATATATTAAATAAAATTTATTTATATTTTACATTGATACTTGTAAGACCAATATAAGGTTCTTTCCAATCGGATGACCCGGGTTTAATATATCTGACATGTTATGTGTTGTTTTTGAATTTTCACTGATCAATGAATGAATTTTTTAAACCAAAGAAAAATAAATTGAAGATGCTGCATTCGTTTTTTTAGCATATTCTCATCGTTAATAAATATCGTTTATATAAAAATTAATATTTTTTGATCTCAAAACGATATATTCACAAGAATTAACATGCATTTGACCCGGGTGATCCGGTTTACTACAAACCGGTTCGGAACTCTACTGCTAGCTTATTTTTTTTTTAAAAAAAACACACTTTTTTTTTATTTGTTTCTAGGGTGGTTATTAAATCAAGTTTCACTGTTTATAATACGTGAAACGTTATATTAAAATTTTGTTATACATAAAAATTAAGTGTTTAGTAGGGCCTATGCTAGATTTGCGACTTTCGCGCCGTCTTTCTGATAATAAGAATGCAATAAGAGATATCATTCCAATAGGTAAACCATTATTAGATGAAAAATTTGAAGGTTTTTATGCATTAATTGTCTAAGTTGTATATGTTACTTGATTTATCAAAGAAATTTGGTTTATAATATCAGTGTTATTTACACCAATCCAAACATATTTTTGTGTATCGAGGACGTAAACATCTTTATTCATGAGTAATACTGTCGATGCTAAATATCCTGAATAAATTTAATTTAATAATTTTTAGTAAATTTATTGTAATAATAAAATTTAAAAAATGATACTTTACTTACCAAACGCAATAATCATATAATTTTGATAAAATGCAGCGGAATGAAATACGAGTGAGTTTGGAGTGTTGCTCCGAGAAATATTGGGTATATACCACACCCAATTACTTGTATTTAAAACTGCAAGATGTGGATACACTTGAGTGTAATAAACGTTATTGATTGTACCTCCATAAATAATAATATTTTCATTTTGATCTGATAAAATATTAAAAAATAACAATAATGATAAATTATTACTAAAAATTAATAGTTTATTTAATATTTATAATTCAGAATATTTAGAATACTTAGAATACTCACCTATGACCGCCGTATGACCCATGCGCCTTTCAACAAAACTACCACTGGCTGTCTAAGTTATAAAAAAATAATAAATTTTATATTTAATTTTTATGAATAAAAATATGTAATATTATTTATATTGTTACATACTTTAGTAGACCAAATATAATTATTTGTATCAAACGTTCGAATCTGTGTTTAATATAATTATTAAAATATGTCCAGAACAAAAATCATTTAAAAATAATATTATTATATAATCATGCCTCACTCATATTCAAGTAATTTGGTTTGCCTTTTGGTAAATTATTATTACCATATTCACCAATATAATCATATCCACCAATATAAATAATAAGTCCAGATTGCAACAGTGTAGCAGTATAAGCAGAATAGAATGGAGCTTGGGGTATATTTAAAGTTGACCATGTCATTGTAGTAATATTAAGCATATTCATGTCATTATAAGACATGACCGTTGAATTGTCACTTTCATTAATTGCAAAATTCTTTCCTCCGAAAATAAAAACCCTCCCATTTTTATCAATTACTGCTTGAATTAAATTACGTGCATTAAAACTGTTATTATAATTAGTAACATTTGGAATTGTCCATAATGAATTATTATTAGGATCAAATCTAAATACTGCTGAAGAAAAGGAGATATTTTGCGTGTTTGGAAGATATTGCGATCCACCAATTAAAAAAACAGCAGAATTATTACTAGAGCTTACGCAAGATGTGCCATAACGAGTTCCTCTTGGCATTCCCAAATCTTGATACCACGCAGGCGTAGCTTTATCAAATAAGCTCGAATTTGATAAATCAAGATATAATACTTCATTAGTGTAATTTAAAACTAGCGTATTCCCACCTATGAAAGAAGATCCACCAAAGAAATAAAGCTTAGTACCGACTAGTGCACTAGTTTGTCCCGATCGACCATATATATGTAGACAAGTCACCAAAAGAAATTGAGAACTTTGTAACAACAAAGAAAAAAGTACAATTTGAAAAAACCTCATTAAAATAAATTTGTAACTTTGAAAAGATGTAAAATGATAAAGTTTTAGTGTAATAATTCACAAAAATTTTTCATATGAAAAATAATAAATTTTGAGAATGATTTTAGAGATTGTATTTAAAGAATGAATGCATTTAAAAAGATTACATTTAAAGCACGTACTGTACATACGTACACGTATGTATATACTGTACATTAGATTACATGTACCAAAATGGTGTTTATGTATGACAAATCAGAAATAGTGCACTTAAATTCTCAAAATGAATTAGGGTTAAATTGTTTCATGTTAGGTTAGTCTTTGTTCCAAAAAACATTTCTTTTTTTGTAATTTTACATGCGTATGTATGCACAAAATGGAGGTTTCAGAATTAACCTTTTTTTAAAATAAGCGGGGTTTAAAAAGATCCTATTTTATTTTTAGAATTCCGAATCAGAAAATTAAATAGGCGTTGCCGGTGATAAAATTGGCTTTTTTTTTTCGGTAGTCACTTTTTTTTGAAATAAATACGCACTTATTTTATCTGAAATTGGACGCCGAATCATTAATTCTGAAACACAGTATTTTATCTTTATTCTTGCGTATAAGTTAATCATTTATCGTATTATCTTACGTACGTACGTACGTACATATTGTACGTGAAACTTGGATGAATTTTAGAAGTCTAATGCGGTACGTAGCACGTACTGACACTCGGTAATACAAATTAGATGGTCTTATATAACAAGACCTTGTTATACCATTTTGGTTTCCGAAAAATTTTAAAAAATTTAAAATCTCCAATTCCATCAATTCTATGAAATAGGGGTGTTATTTTGAAAAAAAAATCCGAAATCCCTCCCTCATTAATATATGTGTGACAATTTACGTAGAAGATTTATAAACTTTTTAACAAAAACTGTAACTTAGAATAAAAATTATTAAATTATCAGTTAAAATTATATTCAATAAAGTCTATAATAGTTATGAGTGTTTTTACTTTCATAATTCTGGTTTTACAGGTAAAACAATCTTTTAATAAAATCTAACGTATGAGTTTATAATAAGTGCTAAACACTAGATCAAGAACATTTATAACGTCCTAGAAATATTTGTTTAGCGTAATTAGATTACATAAATAGGTCCTTAGAAATTTAAAATGCTGCTAAGAACCTATATATGAAATATTCTATTCATTATTTTTTCAAATATTTATGTAAAGATCATCTAAATTCAATATGCTTCTTTATTAAATAATTATAATAAAGAGTTTTACCACTAGCGTTATAGCACAATCGGGGATTGTTTATCTTCCTCCATATGGTGGAATATGGTATAATTGTACTACTGATTTTGCGACTGTCAGAAATCAAAGTAAGCATTTATTAAGTTTATTGCATTCAGACTAATTACTAAATCTAAAGCAAAATCAATTATAGGTATTAGTATTAAAACTGTTGATTATTCGTTACCTGTAACTGCTGGACTCGGTTATTACTCATTGGGAAGATATTCTGAAGATCGCATCCAAGGTATCGGTTTTTTCGTATATTCATACTCTGGAACTACGAATTATGGGTCGTCTATCTCTTCAGATGCAATTAATACGCCCAGTAATCTTACCTTTTATTGTGATACAATTGAATTTTCTACTACTCAATGCGATGAAAATTTTAAAGGGCTCCCTTCACCAGATGAAAAAAATAAACAGTGGTGTATATCTATAACAAATCCATTTAATAATAGTCAAAAAGTCAATGTATCAATTATTCCTGATTTAACTTCCACAAATTCAAATATCATCACTGCAAATTATATAACAAACGGTTGTGAAATGGTTAATAATATAAATAGAAATTATTTTTTATTGATTTTGGTAATGATATTTTCAATATTATGTAATTATTTTTAATTAAATTTAATTTTCAATTATAAGTGATATATAAATTTTCAAAAATATTTGATAAGAATATTGTTGTACGCATTGATTATTAAGTGATATAATTGAACTATATATAAATAATTTAATAATAATATTAATACGTATATAGGGTCATAAAAAAAATTATTTTTTTTTGTGTGTGTTTAGCTACTTTAAAACTGATACAGTTGTCCCTCTATATAATCTCGCAGTTGGGCACACCCTAATGTGGTGATTATAAAGTTATAAAGGTACCTCTATATAAGCACAAATTATATTTAATATAAAAAATGTGATTTAATAGAAGTAAATTATATATTTTAAAAATTTTTACATACGATCGTAGATAGTTGCTTAAATCAACTTTTATGTAAAGCCACATAAAGTTAATTTTTTGGTTCTCATAACTCGGCCGGGTCATTGAGTCCGGGAAGAATTTAAATTTTATGAGATGCAGTATTTAAGTTGACCAATCAGAGTTGAGCGTACTTAATGTCAAGTAGCTTCCTATACTACTTGGTATTGGTGGGTCTTTACTATCGATATTCACTCGCTTGGCTATTATCTTCGATTGACCGTGTATTGTACAGGTCCTTCCACCGATGTTGTATACACACAGGTAATAGTTTCTTCACTAAGTTTCGTTTTTCACTAAGCAAACAAAGCTCAAAAAGCTTGGTACTTTCCCTTTCGGGATCGATACCTTATATATTATTACTAATCGCTATTCAGCGTCACTGATTATTACATATTATCTCATCGCTCATGCAATCAATGTTTTAACTTTTAATTAATTCCCATGCACACCTGGATCACGCCATTAATGCAAATTGGATCATGACCCGATCATGATCCCTGACCCTACCCTTGCGCTACAAATATCCGGGGCACCAACATCGACCACGACACTTAATACTGATGTTTTGAATTGAAGTAAAAAGGCATTAACAAAAGAACATCATGCTAACTCATGCTCTAATAAATTTGAATCGAAAGGTGGAAAGGCTTTAGCAAGTATATCTTGCAAAAGCAAGAGAAGAAAAAAGCATTAATAGATGCGCTTAAAGAACACTTTTCTGGCTTTTTTGAGTCTTATAATATGAGCACATATTAGAAGAATGAAATGTATTAATTGATGCACTTTGTAGAAACAATCCTGAAAGAATTGAATCTTTGAGATATAATCTGATCCAGTTAAAACTAACCATCTGGATATTTGGGTAATAATTTTTGAAATTGGACCAATTATGTAATCAATTACATATCTATCACTAATGTATCTGTATGTATCAGTATTAATAATTTTTATTTATAAAAAAAACCTTTTAATTTTTTCTTTATCTATATAAGAATTTTCTATTGTGCTAGTACAAAATTATCATGCCTAACGAAAAAATAAATCAAATAATTAATAACATTAAAATTATGCATACTAATGCAAACCTAAAAAATAAATCAAATGTACTTTCTTTATTAGCAAAAATTTTAAGTTGATCAAAGCTTAAAGATTTTGGATTTCATTTCAGTAATGATCAATTTAAGACTACTGTTCAAAAGGCCAATCAATCATTATTTTTATTAACTGATTATCAAAGGGTTATACCACTATCATAATCACCTGTTTATGAAAGTACAAAGCAACTTATTAGTGAATTTCTTTATAATAATTCATAAAGATTATCAATTACAAAACAGAAACAAAATTCTGAAATAAATGAAGTATATTTTTTAGAAAAATCAAAATGTAATATATATTTTGAATTAAAATCACAATATCCAGATATCAAACTTAGTCTTAGTTCATTTTACAAGCTATGTTCAAAAAATTTTAAGAAAGCTCAAAAAAAAACTGATATGTGTCAAGTAGACAACAAGCCAAAAAAAAATTACAACAACTTACATCTATAACATTATCAACTGATTCTAAAATTTGCAAGAAATAGTTAATTATTATTATTATTATTATAATTTTAAGGAACAACAAAATTATTAACACCCTTAAGCACCTACCTTATTGCCATATAACATGAACTTTTTATATTAGTCATTGCTGCTCTGCTTTGTTTGTAAATTTAAATCTGTTTATATTGAAAAATTGTCTAAAAAAGGAGATTTACTATATTACAAATTTGAAGAGATTGTATAGTATATTCTCTTGCTTTTGCCCTTGCACTTGCACTTGCCCTTGCTTTTATAAGATGCTAAAAAAGTTACGAATGTACAAAATTTTTTATTTTGTGTAAAAATCATGCAGTTCATTATAGTATACTATACCTGTTTTCATTATTTCTCTCTTTTTCTTTTTTTTCTGTTTGATTTTTTGCTGCCTTGATGAATTGATAATTGCTGATCATCAAAGGCCAAAATGAAAAACTATAGTGAAGAATTTGATGATTATTTCTAAATTTTTTTCTACTATTAATTCAGGGTTGCACATTTTAATTTTGATTGGTCATATCAAAAAACTATGATCAAGTATGGGAATTCTAAGTTTGTGCACTTTGTCATTTTTAATTGACATATTCAAAAAAAACTATGATCAGAATGTCAATTATGATAATGACAATTTTAACACTATCTACTTATGATATTATAGATTGAAGTTACTTATTAAAGTTATAGGATTAAGTTATCTGCCATTACTGATTATAGTATTCTGAATTAGGTATTTTCTAATTATTATTATTTTCTAATTTTGAATTAGTTACTTCCTGAGTATGACCTCTTAATTACAAATTGCAACATTGCAACACCTATCTAATTTATCAATCAAACCATCTAATTCAGAATTTGTCTGTTTAAACTTTTTGATTAGTTAATTATGAATTGGTAAATATAAGTAATTATTACAATCTTCTTTATAACTCAATTTAGGGTTTGTTACTTTAATGTTTTTTATTGTTCAAATCTAAAAAATATAATCTGAACATGAGAAAACTTATGTAAGATGATTATGCTTTAAGTAATTATTACAATATTCCCGTAATTATTTGCGACATTTCAATTATTTAAATTAATATCATCATGAATTTATTATCAATATATAAAATCAAGACATGTGCTAACAAATTTGAAAATTAAAATTCATGTGCCTCACATAAATTGCTTTAGATGATTTCTTGCATTTTTTATTGATCATTCATGTAATTGCCAATCTGATATCTTTGCTCATCTGCATGAATGTCAAATTTTTTGCAAGCCCTGAAATCTAAACCATCTACTGCAGCTCTATATGATCTACGATTATGCAGTCAAGTGCAATATGAATAATGTATCGCATTTGTTCAATTTATCAGATTTAATAAATTTAACCAACTTATCTGATTTATTGAATTTATCCATTTTAACAAATTTATCTATTTTACCTGATTTAATCTATTTACCTAATAAATTCATTTTTTTACATTTATTAAATTTGCTGTAATACCAAATATTTAATTATAAATAAAAGCCGTGAAAGCCCTATAAACTGATAAGTTTCATGCTGCTTACAATAATTATCCCTAAATAAAATTATCCAATTGATCCATTATAATCTTAGGCATCTAAAAAATACACTAACTAGTAACAGAATTTTTACAAAATTACAATAGTTTCAATTCAACTTATTACAATGTGTTACTAAATGGTAATTATTTTTTGCAACTTAACTTTAACCACTGCATTTTATATTGGTAACCAATTTCTGTAGTATAATTTTTAACAATAACTCACAACAGACTTCAACTACATACTGTATTTTGCTATAATAGCAAATTTTGCAATAGAATTTTTTACAGTGATTCGTGATAATTCAATGCAAACTAATTAGACCTTAAGCATATATCTAAATAGCAAGTGTTCTATAACAAGATGATTTATAGCAATAACTCAACCTTAACTGTATACTATATACTGGAATTTCAAGTAGATTTTGTATTAAATTTTATATAGTAATATCAACTCAACTTTAAATACATACTATGATCTCTGAAATAGTGAGCAAGATCTATACCAATTTTTTATATCAGCTCATAAAGTAGCAGAAATCACAAAAATTCCAATATATAGTTGCTAGCAAAATAGTAAGTTCTGTATTGCTTAATAAAAATTATAATTCTAATACAAAATAACTCAAGCTTAACCACACAATGTATCACCAAAGTAGTGGGGTTTGTTCTAGTAATTCAGTAGAAATTATGCAATATGATTTACTAGCTAAACCTTAACTATATACTATATATCACTGGAATGAGTAAATTTTTTACTAGAATTTTTATAATAATTCTCAATAGTAATTATGATAATTTAATACAAACTAACTCAGTTTACAACAATTCTAGTTCAAACTAACTTACACACTATATTTACCAAAATAGAAGATATGCTTCCATATAGTAACTCATGATAAAAATTATATTAATTTTAACACTAAGCTAACTCAACTTTAATTAGATACTATATAACAAAATTTTCACAATAGCTCATAATAAAAATCTTTATAACTCAATTCTAAGTTTGTATATTTAAAATTTATAATTGGTCAAAGTATTCAAAATACACTATTAACCTTATTTTATTTATTCTAACTTAGTATGTGTATAAACCTAATAATTTTTATATTTTTTTTGTTTTATATTTTATCTTTTATTTTTGTCTATTTATAACTATATACTAAAATATTTGTAAATTTTTTTTTTTTTATATATAATTTGAAAGCCATGTCACATGCCTGCTTTATTAATGAGATACTACATTTCCTGAAGAAATTGTCCAAATTACATCATTCCTTATGGCAAAAAATCTAGAATGTGGCTTACCCGATTTCCAATTGGACCTACTGTATATGCAAACTGCTAAAGATGAGTTCAATTTCCCAGTTAGATTTGGCTTACTTCACTTCAATCAACTCATCTCCAAATTACTAACCTGGTTCACCAACCTGTCATAACCACCTTCTTTCCCAACCTTTTTCTTCTAGCCTTCTAGATAAAAGAACTACTAACAAAAAACAAAAGAAAAAAAACAAATACAAAATAAAAAGAAAACTAAAAAGGGGAAAAGTCTAAACTAAACAAAACTAAAAAAGAATAAA